AGATAGATGATAGATAGATAGATAGATAGATAGATAGATAGATAGATGGCAGTTGACTTTAGCAGTTCCATTCCTGGGCATGAAGAATGTAGCAACAAAACAGCTTTATTTTATTTCATATTTTTATTTTTTCCCCATTATGGTTAAAACTTTCTCTTTCCAATCTCATTTTTTTTCAGCCCCAAAGGGTAGTTTGATCAAACTGCAAACTTCCTCCATGCTTTCCATTTGATAACAATGCCGTCTGAAGGTGTTGTTTAGGCTTTGATCTTTAGTGTCCAGCCCTCACTGTCACTTCTCCATGTCTTTCCCATCTACAGTCTAGGTCAGCACTCCTGGGTCTTAGTAACCTGCAATGAGGAAGGAAAACATTCCAGCCACACCCAAATCATTCTGCGGCTCCTTGGCAGAGGAAAAAGAAGAACTGAAGAAGCACAAAGAGGATGGGCCTGGTGGTGTATGCTACTTGAATATGGTGAGACAGTGTGGCAGTGGGACTGCTATAAGTTCAATGCTAGCCTGGTCTATATGGTGAGTCCATGTCTCAAAATTTAAAAGAAGCAAAAAGGTCTTCATTATTTAGCTGGTTCTATTCTATTGAGCCACTGGTAACCTCTACTAGGAAAGGTATTCATATGTCCAATGATTCTCTTTTGCAGGGAATTTATGGTTTTCCATTAGAAAACTCAAAACCAGAGCTGGAGAGATGACTTATCGATCAAGAGTCCTGGCTGCTCTTCAGAGAACCTGGGTTGAATTCCCAGCATCCATAGAGCAGCTGGTAACTATTTGTAACTCCAGTCTTAGGGGATCAAACACTGTTTTCTGGCCTCCAAGGGCACTAGACATGAACATGGTGCATGGACATACATGCAGAAGAAACACCCATAAACAGTATAAAAAATGTTATAGGAAATACACTCAACCCTTCAAAGAAACAACAACAGTTTTCTTTTAGGTAAATGTCCATCTCCTATGAACCACTGATTCTCTGTTTAGATAATAAATTCTCATACAAATAACATTCTTATGCAATATTCCTTACAGAATATTTTATTGTTCACCATGTCCACCTACACTAATTATATTGCTGTGATAAAATACTAGATGAAAGCCAATTGAGGAAGAAAGAGTTTATTTTGACTCACAATCTCAGGATACAGTTCATCATGTTGGGGATAGCATGGTGGCAGAAGCATGAGGCAGCTGGTCACACTGCATCCACAGCCATGAGAGAAATGTCCCCCATAGGCTCAGACATTTGAATACATAGTTCTCAGATGGTGGTGCTGTTTGGGGAGGTCTATGAGGTCCAACTTTTAAGAGAAAGTATATCAGCTGAGCGGTGGTGGTGCACATCTTTAATCCCAGCACTTGGGAGGCAAAAGCAGAGAGGTGTCTGTGAGGCCAGTCTTGTCTACAGAGCAAGTTCCAGGACAGCCTGGGCTGTTATATAGAGAAACCCTGTCTCAAAAAAAAGGGGGGGAAGGAAGGAAGGAAGGAAGGAAGGAAGGAAGGAAGGAAGGAAGGAAGGAAAGAAGGGAGAGAGAGGAAGAGAAGGAGGGAGAGAGGAAGGAAGGGAGAAAAACAAGGGAGGGAAGTAGGGAGGGAGGAAGTATGACACTTGCAGCAGGCTTTGAGAGTTTATAGTGTCACTGTACTTAATGGTTTACTGTCTGCTTCTTGATGTGATCTCTCAGCTTCTGGTATGCTGCCCTGTCTGCCATTTGCTGCCAGAATGGACCCTTGCCCCTCTGGAACTGTAAATCTTCCATAAGTCACCTTTTTGGCATGACATTTATCACAGCATCAGAAAAGTAACTAACTTGGAGATTAATACGGTACTCTCTGAATTTTATTCAGTCCAGGATCCAAGCCTGAGGGATGATCTGGCCTACATTTAGGGAGGGTCTTCTCTCTTCAATTAAGCCTTCCTGGAAATACCACACTGAGGGGTGACTCCAGCCACTCTCATACCTAAGCAAAGAGAAGACGCTGTACTCTGCTCACAAACCTCAAAGAACAGAGATAGGTCAAATTCACACAAGATTGAAGAAAAATGTGTGCATGGATATTCACAGCCACAACCTTCATAATAGTCCTGTGTTAATCAGCCTCCTGCCATTATAACAAAATACTGGAAATAATTGACTTAGATAAGGAATAATTTCCTTAGTTCATGTATTTGAGATTCCAGCCCCTGATCAAGTGACCCCAATACTTGGAAACTCAGAAGGTAGTCGCAGGGATGAGAATATTGAAGTATCTATATCATGAACCAGGAAACATCAAAGAGAGAGATGAAGAGACAAGGGTCTCATAGTCCCCTTTAAGAATACTTCCCCAATGACTTAAGGGCCTCCAACTAGGCTACACCTCCTAAAGGATCCAACATCTCCCAACAGTGACCCCCTCAAAACCAAGCCTTTAAAACCTTTGGGTCAGCAAGATTTATTAACACATAAAATAAAAATTAAAATTTGGGAAGTGTTTCTCCAAATGATAACAAGCTCAAAAGTCAAAACAACCCACATTCATAACAGCAGATGAATAGGTTAACAAAATATGGCATAGTCATACAATGATTAATTTCAGCTATAAAAAGGAGTGAAATACTAATAGATGTCACACTGATGAAGCCTGCAAATATCATTCTAACTATCAGACACCAAACACAAAAGCCACATATGGTATGATTCCATTCAAATAAAATAACCAGTACAGACAAATCCATAGAGACAGAAATCAGACTGGTGCTTGCTAAGGACCAGGAGGAGAGATGGGGAGTGACTGATAATAACATGGTGTTTCTTTTAGCCATAATAAGTATGTTCTAAGATTAAATAGTTGCACAACCTCATGAATACACTCAAAACCATTGACTGCTTTGAAAGTGGAAATGGGGGATAAGGAGATTACTCTGAACTCCTACAACTGATAAATGCCTTTAGTGATGCAGCAGGATACAAGATTGACTAAAAAAAAATCAGTAGCCTTCCTACATACAGATGACAAATAGGCTGGGAAGGAAATCAGAGGAACATCACCCTTTACAATAGCCACAAACAACATAAAATATCTTGGGGTAACTCTAACCCAACAAGTGAAAGATCTGTACAACAAGAACTTCAAGTCTTTAAACAAATTAAAAAAGATACCAGAAAATGGAAAGATCCCCCATGCTCTTGGATAGCTAGGATCAGCATAGTAAAAATGACAATTCTACCAAAAGTAATCTACAGATTTAATGCAATTCATATCAGAATCCCAGTGCGATTCTTCACAGACCTTGAAAGAAAAAAACTCAACTTCATATGGAAAAACAAAAAACTCAGAATAGCCAAAACGATCCTGTACAATAAAGGATCATTATTCACCATCCCTAACTTCAAGCTCTACAGTAGAGCTATAGTAATGAAAACAGCTTGATACTGGCATAAAACAGACAGGTGAACCAATGGAATTGAATCAAAGGCCCCAATATCAACCCACTCACCTCTATGAACTGCTAAGTTTTGACAAAGGAGGTAAAAATATCTCAGAGAGGGCTGATCTCCAAAGCATACAAAGAACTCAAGAAACTAGACATCAAATTACCAAATAATCCAATGAAAAATTGCGGTACAGATCTAAACAGAGAATTCTCAACAGAACAATCTCAAATGGCCAAAAGACACTTAAGGAAATGCTCAACATTCTTAGTCATCAGGGAAATGCAAATCAAAACCACTTTGAGATTCCATCTTACATAGATCAGAATGACTAAGATCAAAAACACCAATGACTGTTTATGCTGGAGAAGATGTGGAGAAAGGGGAACCCTCCTCCATTGCTGGTGGGAGTGCAAACTTGTACAGCCACTGTGGAAGTCAGTATGGCGATTTCTCAGAAAATTAGGGATAAACCTACCTCAAGATACTGCAATACCACAGTTGGGCATATACCCAAAGGAGACACATTCACACCACAAGGATGTTTGCTCAACTATGTTCAAAGCAACATTATTCATGATAGCCAGATCTTGAAAACAACCTAGATGCCCCTCAACTGAAGGGGATAAAGAAAATGTGGTATATTTACACAATGGAGTACTACTCAGCAGTAAGAAACAATGACATCCTGAAATTCATAGGCAAATGGACAGAACTAGAAAAAAAATAGCATCCTGAGTGAGGTAACCCAAAACCAGAAAGACAAATATAGTATATCTCACTCATAAGTGGATACCAGACATAAAGAAAAAGATACTCAGCCTACAGTACACAACCCCAGAGAAGCTAGAACCCTCTTTCAGAAACAGATGGAAGAAGATGCAGAAATCTACAACTAACCATTGGGCCAAGCTCCTGGAGTACAATCAAAGTGAGGGAGGAGCAACAATATGAACAAAGGAGTCAAGGCCATGATGGGAAAACCCACAGAATCAGCTGACCCGAGCTAATGAGAGATCACTGACTCTGGTCTGACAAATGGGGAACCTGAATAAGACCAATCTAGATTCCCTTAATATAGGTGACAATGGTGCAACTGGGACAACATATGAGGCCACAGATAGTGGGTCCAAGATCTAACTCTAATGCACAGACTGACTTAGTGGAGCCCATTCTACATGGAGAGATACCTTGCTCAACCTAGACACAGAAGTGTGGGGGGTGGAGAGGTGCCTTGGTCCTGCTTCAACAAGATGAGGCCTTACCCTCTCCAAGAAGTAGATGAGATGTGGGGTGGGGAAGTGGGGGAGCAGGAGGAGAGATGGGAGTGGGAACTGGGATTAGAATGTAAAAATCAAATTAATTAAAAAAAAGATTACCCTGTTAATACTAAAGTGCATGCCTTATAAGCACAAAGACGTGAGTTTGATTCCAAGATTCTACATAAAAATCTGGACACAGTGTCACACACTTGTAATGCCAGTGCTAGAGAGGCTAAGAGGGACTCAGCTGCCAAACAGTCTATATAGCCCATTTGAAGAGTTTGAGAACAGTGAGAGACCCTGTCTCCAAAACACAGTGATCAGAGACTGGGGAATGACATCTGAGGTTGCTCTTTTGGCCTCCACACATAGGTGTGCATACACACTCACACACACACACGCACACACACACACACACACAGTGTGAAATTAGTGGAATATGAATTATGTCTCAATAAACTTAATATTTTAAAAATTCCAAGGGCCCTATTGTTGGAAATTGTTGAGGTACCACAGGCTGAAGAAACAGTGTGGGCACTTCTAAATAAGCCCTGGTGTTGGTCCAGCTCTTCTCAATCAAATGTAGGATGCTTATCTTCTGCTGGCTATTTGAGAGCCTGCATCTGAGTACACAGGAAATTCCTATCTTACAACTTTACACTTGGTTCTATTTCCGGGCTCTTACTTAGAGCAACCAAGATGCTCATGATGTCCTCACCACCCTCCATATGGAATAGTCACCTTTCAAAACCTCTAGCAGAGGTTTCCCTTTCCACATGACTACAGAGACTACCACTGTCTATTCAAAAGCCAAAGACTACAGGACTTTGTGATCTCAGAAATATAGGAAACATATTCACTAAATAGCATCAGGTAGGTCAACCACACTCTAGTGAGTGGCCCTAAACCCCAGAGTATACGAGCAGCACAAATTAGATTCTATCAGTTGTTTTAAAAAGAGAAAGAGGACAGAAGTTGGGGAGGGAGATGGGGTTGGTCTGGGAGGAGTTAGGGGAAAGAGTAGTGGGGAATATGATCAAAATGCATTGTATGAAGTTCTCAAATAATTAATAAATGTTCTAGTAAAAGTAAAAAGAAATCCAAACACAATGTAGAATGTATTACACAGATTCCTGGCAGCTCACTCTCACTCTGAGAGGTCACTTTCTATTTTGTTCATCTTTCAGCCATTATTCCCACCACTGGCAATCACAATTATCGTTATAGTTATGGGAGGACATGTTTTTCACTCACAACTTTAGTGAGGGTCTACTAGTGTACACAGGTATCAGTTATCAATTGGATTCTGAGGGGGAGCTGCAGCCCAGAGGCTGAACTCTTCTCTAGCATGCACAAGACTCTGTTCAAACCCAGAAGAGTCCAAATGATGCTGACATACTTCTCTCAGTGATTACTTGTGACCAATAAAAGATAATAAGGGCTGGAGATGTAGGTTTAGTATGATAGTATGAGCAAAGTATAGGCAAGGTCCTGGGTTTGATTCCCCAACACCACAACAAGAGGGAGAGAGAAAAGCAGGGAGAGAGGGCGGCGTGGAAGGAGGGAAGGATAGAGGGAGGGAAAGAAGGGAAGAGAAGGGAAGGGAAAGGAAGGGAAGGGAAGGGAAGGGAAGAGAAGGGAAAAGAAAAGAAGGGAAGGGAAGGGAAGAGAAGGGAAAAGAAAAGAAGGGAAGGGAAATGTCTGGAGATCTACAAAGATGACACCAGCTAACTATCTCAGCAATGGAGGAGAGACTACCTCAAATGCCCTCCCCTGATTATGAGACTGATGACAGACTTATATCCTCTCATCCAGCAGCTGGTGGAAGTAGAAGCAGACACCCATAACTAATCACCGATCTGAACTGGAACCCAGATACAGATAGCTGGAATAACAGCATGGGACTGATCCAGACCCAAGGAACATGGGTTTCTGTGAGGAAACCTCGGAAATCTATAGGACCTCCTGTAGAAGCCCAGTATTTATCCCTAGCATAGATGTGGAGTTTGGGAGCCCAATCCATATAGAGGAATACTCCCTGAGCCAAGACACACGGGGTTGGGCCTAGGCCCTACCCCAAAGGAAACGTAAGACTCTGATGACACCCTATGGAAGGCCTCCCCCTCCAGGGGGCGCAGAGAAGATATGTGACAGATAAGGTTTTGGGAGGGGGTAGGGGAGGACCGGTGGGAGAAGGGAAATGGGATTGTCATGTAAAACAATCCTGTTCCTAATTCAAATTTAAAAAGTTGGAAAAAAAGAAATATATATATAAGCAAAATTTTTTTTTAAATGGGGAAAAAAAGAGATATTTTCCAAGTTCCTACCAATTCACAGTGCCTCCAGAACTCCACTGAACTGGGTCAAAAGCTGGCTCAACTGGGATTTACCACATCACTGTATCTAGAATGACTCACCACGTTCTTTTCAAGAACACACCCAGTTCCCTGGGCCTCTCAGTCCAGGACCACCACTGACGTCAGCCTTACTTGAGGATTATTTGGCCTTCACTCTTGTTCCAAAAGAGCACTTGGAATGTGTGGGGGCTAGAGGTGGGGAGGTGGGCCAAAGAAACATCATACATGTTTAGGAAGGAAGTCTAAATCTAACAGGAAGTCCCTCCTTTTTCAGATGAAGAATGGCGTGTCTGGAGGGGCTAAGGAACTAATGGAGATGCACGCCGTTGTAGTCAGCACTGTCTGAGCTGCAGCGCTGGGCCGGCAGTGCTCCTCCAATGCTGTTTTCACTCAGTTCTTGTGCATCCTTCCTTGGTGCCATTCTTCCCTAACCTATAACCTAACAATAAAAACAGTTCTGCTCCTCTCATGGAGCTGCTGTGAACTCGATGGCATGTGCAAATGTGCATTAAAACCCTTGCAAATGTCAGGTACTATTTAAAGTGAAAATTATTTCAATCAAGAAAATAAATGCATACCATAAAACATGGATGAGAAAACAATTCATAAATGAGGAACACTCTGCAAATGACTTACAGCACTTATAATTAAGTTCTCAATGATATCTAAGTAGCAAATAGAACTGATTGTCTTCCGTGCATAGGGCCAAAAGAAACCAGCATGCACCTAATGGAAATTACACAATTCCATGGGGCCTCATGAAAATTGGGTTGTATCACTAGAAGCAGGGCATTTTACTATGCCTCTTTCTCCCTTCCACTGTTGACTGCTTCCACAACACCCTCCTCAGTGGTGAAGCTTTGAAGTTATTACCATAATGGAGATGATGGGGTTTTCTTATTCAAGGAGAAAGTGAGTCGGCAGACTCAATGGAAGTGAGTCCAAGGAAAGAGACATTATTCAAAATGATATTTAAATTACATTCCAGTTTTAGAATATTCTAGGGAGAAAAAATAGGAATAGGAGAAACAAAGGGGCAACCCATAGGTTCCTAAAACATTTAGCCTGCTTGAAAACCATGCAGAAAAGCTGAAGGCAAGAACACAGAACCACAGTAGGATGACTTCACTAGACTGAGTTAGCAACACACATGGCTGGAATGCGGAAGATGAGCTCTACAAAAAAAGACATATTAGGACATGTTTTTCTTTTTTATTAAGTTTTTAGGTTAGCATACAAAGTGTTGGGTTTTGTCATGGCATTTTCATACACATTGTGCCTTGTTCTAATTTGTCCTGGTTCCCTTCCTTCCTCTTCTCATGGTTCTCAACCTTCCCAATGCTGCGACCCTTTAATATAGTTCCTCATGTGGTGGTGACCCCCAGCCATAAAATGATTTCATTGCTGATTCATAACTCTCATTTTGCTACTGTTAGGAATAGCAATGTAAATATCTGATATGCACCCCCAAAGGGTTGTGGTTCACAGATTGGGAGCCATTGCTCTAGATAGACTTCCC